TTTTTATCAAATTTATTACATATGATTACTGCGACATGCTATTTCTAATGAGATACGAACAAAAATAGACACACAGTATTTATGTTTACCAAGAACTATGAGGCCAACAACTATATCTTCTGAGGAATTGTATAAGAGTATTAGTGAAAGTGAACGTAATGAATTTGCAAAGGGATGTAATATGGTAAAATTGGATGAGAAAACTTGGTTGCTAGAGAAGTGTTACGGTTATAGAGATCGCGGAGGCAGGATGTACAACTATGGGGGGTGAGTAAGTAGCCAGTGTCTATTCATATACAAAAGATTTTCGTGCTAGGCGGTTCGAATTTATTATTTGAATCGTTCGTTCCAAGAACCACTCAAGTCAATTTGTTCCAACATACTTTTTTTACTGACAACACTTCATTAAAGGTACATAGATGCGTATTTTTGCTATACACCTCGTAAGAAGAGCTGCCCTCCATCCGGGATTTCCCGGATTTCTCCTAGTTTATAGGGCGTACGGAAGGGGTTTTTAGAAACAGTCCGATGATTCTCCGGATGATTAAAAAAATGTTTTGTTGTATACCCCGGTACAACGACCAGCATCACCCTGTACAACGGCATTCACTCTGCCCTGTACAAACAGCTAGGCGACGCCATCGTAGTATTACGTGTATTCGATCAGCAGAAACACTTACTTACCTGTTGAACATTTCGGATACATAACATAACATGTTTTATTGTATAAACGTGCTCACCCCGCAAAACAATGACACATACTGCCATGCACACTAATGACATCAGCAGTCGTGATTTCTCTGTGGGATGATACTGGGCACTCTATAATTTTTAAGTTATCGTACGCAGATTATGAATCATTACATTTTTTTGAATGAAATGATGACCTATTTCCAATTTTTTCTTAAAAATTCTGTTCAACCTCCGTTCCATATAATGTATTGCCAAGAAGAAAAGTGTACCAGATTATTTTTATTGACAGATTACCTCAGACAGAGAAGAGTGTAATTTTGTTATTATTGAATTAAATATTTCATTTCATATTAATTTGATTATGCCGTAACTTTAAATCGACTTTGTCCTGTTTTGTCAAACATTGTTAAATAGCTGTTTAGATTAATGAAAAATTTGAAAACGGCGACTATTATAAAAAAAACTGGGGTGTCCGGACAAAAATATCAATTTCACCCAACTTGCATGCACTACTCGATGGCCGTAGCCGATACTTGAATGGGTCATTTCAAAAATAGTACCAGTATCCTTGATACGCATTGTTTTTTTCATATTTATATGCTACATGCACAAAAATATAATATAATAAATCGTCTTGCCTGTTAAGGTACAATTAACTCAGGTCAGCAAAGCATTTTTTACTAATGTTATTTACGTTAGGTATGAACCTAAAGTTCTCGTCAACAAATACCCCTAAGTTTTGTATTCGTAAATTTGAATAACACTGCCGTTTAGTCTTATGATGAAGTTAGTTTTAATATGACTTGCAAGTACTTTAGAAAAAATTGCTTAAATCGGATATATAAAATAGATACTGAAGTGGTCCAAGCATTTAGCCTTATGGTACTCCTCCCAAACATCCTGGCGAAGAGTCTGTACTAATAACGATTCTCTGAAACCTATTTGTGAGAAAGCTACTTGTCAATGTTAACGAGCTATTACAGAAACTATAATATTTGCATTTAGCTGTTAAAAGTTCAATTTTTGTGGTATCAAATGCCTTGGTGAAATCTAAAAGAACTAATGGAGTCACGTTGATGGTCCAGGCTTTAACAATGTCATTTAGATCCAATAATGCTGCAGCGGTGTTATATATTATAATTCTGTACCCCACAGCCAGACTAGGTTAAGTCCATTTTTGTCAAAAGTGTGTTCGATATGTTAAGCTTATAGTAATATTGTGAATTTTCATTTGCTGCTTGCAGCGTCCATTTATCTGTATTAATAAGGAAGTTACGACTTTTAAACTCATATCAAGTCGCATACAATACAATACAAGAAAAATATTTCAAATTCAGTTATCCCAAAACTATACTAAGTGACATATAAATCCGAACACCCAGATTAAATGGTTTTATTTTAATAAAAGTTGGTGAATGTATTTATCTTACTGTAAATAACAAGTGAAAAAATTTTCAGCCTTATCAGTTGGACATTCCGGTTTTTATACTGCTTTTTTTTAATTCACTAACGCTCTAAAAATGAATATTTCAGCAGCAGTAAAGAATCAACGTTGCCGGATTTTGTTTCTTGACATCCTGAAGTGTAGACACTGTGGTTAAGTGTTGTCAGGCATGGCTTCGAGAAGAGCAAGGGGCACTGGACGCCGCCGTAGAACAACAGACAGTGAAGATCGCCACCTAAGATTATTGGCCTTACGGGACCGTTTCTCCACTACTAGGTCCATTGCAAATGAATGGTTTGCAGAACACGGAAGACCGAATGGCATGCGAAGTGTTTACCGACGAATGAGAAGTTTTGGCTTGTTTTCATACCGGCCACACTGGGTCCTCCCTTTAACTCGAGAACACCGACGTAATCGCCTTGAGTGGTGCAGACAACGGTCACTCTGGGATCAGTCTTTAGTGACGAGTCTCGATTTTGTTTAGGCATGCACGATGGTCGTGCCAGGGTTAGAAGGCGACGTGGTGAAAGGAGGAATCCACAGTTTTTTGTTGAAAGACATGTTCATCACACTGTTGGAGTTATGGTTTGGGGTGCTATAGCTTATGGTTCCAGGTCACCTTTAATTTTCATTAGAGGTAACATGAACGCGCAGCGTTATATCCACGAAGTTCTAGAACCCCATCTTTTACCCTATCTTGACACCCTGGCAGATCCAACTTTCCAACAAGATAATGCCCGACCACATGTTGCAAGAGTCACAATAGACTTCTTTCAACATAATGATGTCACATTGTTACCATGGCCACCAAGATCTCCCGACTTATCCCCAATTGAGCACGTGTGGGATATGATGGGTAGGAGATTGCTCAATTTGCAACGTCCTCCTCAGACTCTAGAAACCCTTCGAGAGGAGTTGGTGGTTGCCTGGAATGAGATACCACAGGAGGACATTGACCACCTGATCAGAAGCATGCCTAGGCGCGTTGGAGAATGCGTAGCACATCAGGGTGCATCCACACATTATTAAAGGTCAAAGGGCTTTAAAGCAGTGCAATCATTTTGAAATTTTTATCATTTATTTATTATGCTTCATTAAGTACTTATACAAAATTTTATTAAAATAAAATCATTTAAACTGGATGTTCGGATTTATATGTCACTTAGTATACTTATTTGGACTTGGCTCTGAGGCACAGAATTAAAGACTATATAATATCAATTTTAAATTCACGAGCTACGAAAATAGGATTACGGATCTTATCCGGTTTTCCCGAAATCATTTGTTTAAGAGATTTCTTGTTTTCTACCCAAAGTCGTGACCCAATCCTCCTCATTTGTATAACTAATTAGGTCCTTTGACTAGATGTTGAATATTTTCAATAGCTGGTCGTATGGTTAGTATAAAAATGGAATTACATGCACAACACCGATCTTGCAATGTCAGTGTTATTATTGAAAAGATACACTTTGATGAATGGTAGTCAAATAAGCAGGCGGGTTGTTCTATAACCCATAGTGGCTTATTAAAGAACTTTGAACGAATAAGTCTATGTACTTTTCCTCGATGGTCGATCCGTGGTTTGGAAGTAAAAAAGAAAATTCGATTTTTCAGGTGTTTGGCCTTGGCTTCCCCAATGAAACTAAACAATTTTAAAATATGAGTCATGTTAAGAACTCTATATTTAAGTGTAAATTCCAATACGCAAAAATAGTATGATTAATATGATTCTTCTACTTAAGTTATATCCATTAACCCTATTTTCTGCTAAAACAACCAAAAGACCATGACATTTTTTCGGACTTTTCCCATTATTATTACTATTCTCAACATACTGTGAAGGACAAGAAAGTACCTTATAACTAATCAGTGATACAGTGTTTATTGACTCCTGAAAAACTCCACTTGTGACTTACAACGTTTCTGCAATTACCGATTCATTATTTTTCTGCAAGTTGATATATCAATCAATCAATTCTTAAAGATACAAACAATGATAATACGTTGTCATCTTAAGTATGTTAGATTGAGACAAAGTCTGAGAAAAGAGCGATAAGCATTAGATGCAACGTGTGCTTATCCGTTTGGAAAGGTTCAACGTTCCTGACCTAGGAAAAGGATTTATATAATTTTAATCGTTCTAACTAAAATTATCGTAGTGCAAATCATTCTTTCTCACTAACAATCCTAGCCATATGACTGACTTCAAAACTAAACGTCAATCTGACAAGAAGAAAAGTTTATATAATTTCTTTGAAATTCGTTTCATTTAATCGTTGTTTATTTTTTATATTTTTTTAAAAGTAGCAAATGTCGCCGGAAATTTAACTAGAAACTTTAATCTAGACCTCCAGATTTTAAATCCGTTAATTATTTTCTTTTGGGAGCTGTAAGTCTTATTACTGCGTTTTTCTTACTCAGTTTAATATAAATGTTCGACCATGAATAGAAGCTAATTTTCAAAAATGTCTACACCGCTTAAAGGATAATTACGATCAGGAAAAAATAAATATCCAAAAAAAAGTTTAGCATCATCTGTTTAGCAAAAAAATATTGGAAATTCTATGTTTCTTTTATTTAAACTACACCTGGAAATTTGTAAGTGCCGTGATCATCTACTTTTTATCGGTTCAAAATGGTGACAAAGTCGTAAGATAGACAACTTGGAGTGAAACAGACATCTCTCCAAGGAAAGCTAGAGAAGAAGATGTCGAGCCAGCCGGTCGATCCGGCAAAACCTCCTGACAATAAATGCAAATTCTGTGCTAAATTTTGTTCGCTAAGTGAAGTTAAGTGTACTAATAGTGCATGTGATACTCTTCTACATGGAAAATGTTTCGATTCAATTGCCAAGATTGAGCCAATGAAAAAGGAAGAATTCCGTTGTAAATATTGTTTGGGAGACGGCAAGGTGTCTAGTAGCAGTACCGATGTGCTGCTCTTGCATAAAGAAATTGATTGCCTTACACGAGAAAAGCAATTGCTAGAAAAGTATGTGAGTGAACTAGAATTTTCTAATACTATTTTGAAATCTAAAACGCCTGCTGTTTCCTCTACACTGAATGGCTGTTGGTTTTTTTCCGAACTCGTCGTTGGTAAACACATACTCGCAAGCAGCAAAAAAAGTCTCGCCATCAGCTGTGCTGGTTATTAAACCCACTGACATAAACATGGGGAACGCAAAATTGGAGCAGGAGCTGAAGTCTAAATTCAGGCCGAGTCAACTAAATGCGAATGTTACTGGTACTAGACTCATTAGGGATGGCGTGCTAGTCAACTGTGCTGATGTCAAGTCGCTTCAAAATTTGAAAGATGGTCTCAAGAGGCAAGCTGGAAATGCATTTAATGTTTATGAGCCGAAAAAACTTCGTCCGAAGATTGTAGTCTACGGTGTTGATAAATCAGCTGCCGAGGATGCCCGCCTTTCTGAAATTATCATCGCAGATAATGAATTAGATGCTACGGAAGCTGATATTCGTGTGGTTACTAATTTTAAATTTAAGGACGGTATCAATGTTGTCCTTGAAGTTACTCCTTCTATTTTTAAAAATGTTATGGGCAAAGGATTTTTATATATAGGTTGGAAAAGATGTAATGTAAAGGAGCATTTTAATGTTGCAAAATGTTTCAAGTGCTATAACTATGGGCATTATAAAAAAGATTGCAAGAGTTCAGCTACGATTTGTCCTCAATGTTCAGGAAATCATGAAAAGCGCGACTGCATTTCTTCTGATCTCTGTTGTATTAACTGTAAGACTTCCAACAATAAGTTTAAAACAAATTTTCCTACTGACCATTCAGCTAATAGCACTCAATGTTTGTGCTACCTTAACAAATTAGGACAACTTAAGGATAGAATTCAATATGAACAATAAAAACATAAAAATTGGCCACTTGAATTGCAGATCTATTTTCACTCATTTTGATTCTTTTGTTCATCTAGTATTGGATTTTGACTTTGATGTTATGTGCGTTTCTGAAACTTGGTTGAACAGTGATATCTCTAGTGGAGCAGTTGGTATTCCAGGATTCTCTTTACTTAGAAATGATCGCTCTACCAGGGGTGGAGGAGTTGGGATCTATTTTAAAAACTCTATGGCTTGCAAGCAAATACTTCAAGATTTTGATGGTTTTCTGGGAATTGAGCACATCTGGTTGTCTATAAAAACGCATGGTGAGGTATTGATAATTGGTGTAATTTATAGGCCCCCATCAGTAAGCAATAATGATTTTTTGGATTATCTGGACAATGTCCTTTCCTTTATTACTCCCCAGTTTGATCACATTATAGTTCTTGGAGATTTCAACGTCGATCAATCGTATGATAACGAAGTCAATCATTGCTTTATTTCATATGATTTCCATCAACTCATTACAGAGCCAACTAGAATAACTGCCTTATCACAAACGATAATTGACTTAATTTTTACCAGTGCAAATGAAAGAGTTGTAAACTCGGGTGTTATTGATAGTTTTGGCATATCTGATCACAAAGCAATCTACTGTGAGCTCTCACACCGAACATCGCGTCCTAAGCCGTTCATATTAAAATACAGAGATTACAGAAATTTTTCGTATGATGCTTTCAATTCAGACTTAGTAAATTTACCTTGGAATGATATTTTCTATATAAATAATCTCGATGATAAAGTAGCGCTGTTTAATAATCTAATAGTCGATCTTTTTGACAGACATGCCCCTGTTAGAACCTCTCGCATAACAAAACCTTTTGCTCCGTGGGTTACCCCTAACCTCAAAGCTATGATAAAAAAAAGGGATCAAGCTTTGCAAAAGTATAAAAAATCCGGTAAACTGTCGGACTTTGCTATATATAAAGAATTACGCAATTATGTGTGCTCTGCTTTGAGACATGAAAAAGCTGTATTTTTGTCATCAACACTAAACTGTCGTAACTATAGGGATCTCTGGCAAGCAGTCAATCGCCTCAATATCAAAAGAAAACATAATACAGATATACCTCTACAGCTAAAAGAACCTTTTGAAATTAATAGTCATTTTCTTTCAGTTTTTAGTCCATCAAATAGCTGTCCTGAAGCTACTGCATTTTATAATTCAGCCAAATTTTCTAATATTTCTTTTTCTATTAATTTTGCTAATGTGGATGAAGTAAAAAAACTGGTTCTTGATCTAACGTCTAGCGCATATGGTGTGGACGAAATTAGTGCAAAAATGCTACAATACTCTATTTCTGTAACTGCCCCACACATAACTCATATTATAAATTGCTGCATAGAGGTTGGTTATTATCCTAGTTAATGGAAATATGCTGTTATAAAACCTTTGCCCAAAATAAGCATACCGTCTGTATATAATGACTTAAGACCAATTAGTATACTGCCTGCTCTGTCTAAAGTACTGGAGAAGGTGATCTATTTACAGTTATATGAATTTGTGATTTCTAACCAAATTATACCTGAATCACAGTCTGGATTCAGAAGGGCCTATAGCACAACTTCGCTCCTTTTAAATGTATCAGATGATATTATTAGATCTCTCGACGCTGGCCTTGCTACAGCTCTTGTATTTCTTGATTTTTCGAAGGCGTTTGATACGACTGATCACTGCTTACTTCTTGCAAAGTTACGATATTATGGTATAAATGAATTGGGCTGCCGACTTTTCAAATCTTACCTTCAGGGCCGTTACCAGTGTGTTGTGGTTGATAATAGCTCGTATTCTGACTTCCAGCCTGTGACTTCTGGAGTCCCTCAAGGCTCCATATTAGGACCTTTGCTATTTATTATATATACGTCTGATATTTTTAAAACTATCACTTATTGCAAGATACAAGGTTATGCTGATGACACACAATTATACCTGTCGTTCGATCCTAGATTTATAAATACCGCATCTGCTTATATTAATCAAGATTTAGAAAATATTCAAAAATATTCATTTAATCACAACTTAAACCTCAATCCAGATAAATGTCAAGTTGTTATCTTCTCTCCGCCATGTTATGAAATTTTTATGCAGCATATCGACTTAACATTAAATGGAAAATCAGTCTCAGTAGTTAAAAGTGCAAAAAATCTTGGTGTTATTTTCGACTGTAAGCTCAGATTTGAAGAGTACGTCTCACTATTAGTGAAAAAGACTTACCTAGTTTTAAGGCTACTGTATCGAAATGGTGGTATTTTAAATTTTAAATTACGTAAAAAGCTCTCAGAGAGCCTAGTATTACCTATTTTAAATCATGCAATCACGCTTTATTATCACTTCTTAACGTCTATTTTGAAATACAGACTTCAAAAGGTACAAAATTGCTGTTGTAGATTTGTTTTTAGGCTCAAAAAGTTTGATCGAATCTCAGCTAAAATAAATGAGTTAAAATGGTTAAAACTGGAATATACTCATAAATATTATACTTCTATTTTAGTTCACCGTATTTTATCATCACAGAGCCCTGCTTACCTGAAAAGAAAATTAGTCTTTAGGCGTGATTTGCATGATTTAAATACGAGGTTCACTAATAAACTTTCTCTTCCTAAGATTCGTTTATCCTTATTTAGAAAATCTTTTTCATATAATGCTGTTACTATATACAATAGTATCGATGACGCGCTTAAGTTTAGTTCTGTACCGATGTTTAAAGTCCTGGTAAGGCAATTTTATTACAATAGTCAATGTAATGGATAGTTCAATAGTTTTTGATTATATACTCTTCGCTTTGCGGTTTTGTGTCTTAGGCTTTTGTTTATTTTCATTCAAATTATCTCATATTTTCTATGCTATTTTATATTTGATCACTTCTGATGATTGCATTTTATGTATTATCTGTGGCTTTCTTCCTTGTTAGCTTTTATTTAGGGTTAAGTAGAGTAGCTTAGGCTAGACTTCGCCCTGTTGCAGATTTCTGCATTGTATATAACAATGCTCAATAAAGACATAATAATAATAATAATAATAATAACTACCAAATATTATTTACGATGATCTCTGAGCGGCGCTAAGTTTGAATCTATATCTTTAGTGCTAATATTATATATATATACGTATACAGACGATTGCCCGTTTTTTATAATACAAAGAAACGTCATAATAGCAAGTAACCTCTCAAGGGCGGATTTAGAGAGGTAGCGAGAGGGGGGGTGCCTCCCCTAGACGCCCAAGTCGAGCAATTATTTCAAGAAAATTGAATATACCGCTGTATGTTGTATAAAAATTACTTTGCTAGACCTGAACAGTGAGACGTGACCCCCCCTTCTCTTAGATTTTTCTCCACCCCTGCCCTGTTCTTGGATTGACACAGAAGTGTTTTAATCGCTGCTAAGACCCTCAAGACAGATTCCTGAATCCATCCTTGTAATCTTCAGTCTCAAATTTAAAAGCTAGACGGTATTTATGGATATAGACAGTCTACATCCAGCATCGGAAATGGAAGGACCTCTGAAGAAGCTTGCCACTCGTGCTAGCGAAACGTTAGGCTTAAAATTTTCGATTACAGCTATTTCTATTACGATCATATCGTCGCCTTTCTCTCGAAGTGTAATAACTGACAAAATGCCAAAAATTGAGATAACCAGCATATAGGTGTATTATTACATGCCGGTTAATCTGACGAAGAGGCATAACTATATATCTATTAGTGTAGGCAACACACCATTAGCCCCTGGGTGTCTTATCTGCAGAGGTAAATATATAATTCCCACGAAGAGACCAAACTGAAGATAAGTCTCTTAGTGTGCAATAATCCTTGTTAGTATACGCACCTCGGTGGTCGAATACTGGTCAAAGTGAGGGAGACACAGTGCAATTCATACTGCGATAAAGGGAGCTGGAGATCTTTTTGAACCTTGACAACTCTATCCGGTTTTTCGATTGGCCAGAAAAAGTCAACCTTATTTAGCAATCCCAATAATTTTTTTGACTGCAAGAAACTTTCAAAAGATTTAAGAATGTTGTCCACACGGCAAACTGGTAAAGGGCAAAATACTAAATGGAGTTTATGGTAAAAAAGACATACTCACCAAAATATTTTTCAAGTCTAGTCATGACAGTATTGAGTTACAAGGACTGATGAAAAATAGTAATAATATAAATGATATTAAGCTAGAACAACGTAAAAATAACAACAAAAACAAAAAAGAAGTACTCCGATTTAATTTCCTTATGTGAAAATCCAACACCCGT